TTATTTAGCGATTGTAAGAGGAATTGATGAAATTGAGAAAGGGAGAATCCTTGTGCTTGTTTCAATTTTGGAAGCGTTTTTCCGAGTCGTCTTCATAAAAGGGCTTTTATTGCGTAGTTTAATGTTCTCAGTTTAAATCAGGCAGCTTGGGGTTTTTCCGAGTGAAAATGAACGCAAAAGGGAAAGCGAAATACATTTAGCCACTAGTACGTATAACTCTTTGAATAAGTGAAACGTGCCTCTTGCTTTCTGGCAAACATGTAGGCTGTTTATATGTGAAACGGTTTCGTCATACCCGCTTATTCAAACGGTTATTATGCACCACTTTTCGATTCGCACTTTAAAATCCACACGCGAGGAATAATAATAAAAAAAAGAATCCTCCTTTTAGGAGCCTTTTTCACTTGTGAGTAAGATTGATGTATTGGCGAGCAGCTAGAGTACTGGCTTTTTCGATCTGAATAGCTTCGAAAATAATAATAACAATAATATTAAAAAAAAGGAAACTAATTAGACCCAGAGCTAAATTCACATATCCCAGCCAACGCCCTGATTCTCCCCTCATTTCTTTATATTGTAGGCTATAGATTGATTGTTTTATCGATTGACTTAAAATCAGTAAATAATCGTCCCAATTTTTGTATCATCTTGCGAACAAGTAGAGTCCAAAATACGATGATGGTCTTAATTGCATTTTTCTCTAACAGCAGTCATTAACACTATCTGTCAAAACCTGAGGACCGTCTGAGACACATTACAAATTTACAACGAATTTTTAAGTAAATTCTTTAAGCATATCTATGCTATACATATCCACGAAAGAGAAAAATCTGTAAGCTATAGCTTTTATTTACTACCAGTTAATCATTAACCTGCCCATTGGCTTTTACTATGTTACTCACCGGTTTTTCCTTGTTTGCAGGCTTGTGTGCACCGTATCTTGTTGCATTTGTGACTACATTGATCTGCCACACAATGGCAAGTCTGTTTGGTAGCAAATACGTGTATGGCGCTTCTAAGATTAAAGTTTGTAACGTTGCACGTTTGAAAATAATAAACTTTTCTGGACGTCAACTCGGTGCATTGATCTACCAATCGTCCGTATGTCATAGAGCACCTTCGCCGACAATGCTGTGGTACTAGGCTATTATTTGGCCTGTAGAAACATTTTTTTATTGTGCAATTAAGATCACAGACGAAGTCAGTAAAATTGCATTTCTGTAGCCAACTCTTGTTGTCAAATTTCAGTGTGCAAGGTATTCCAACATAAGCCATGTAGTTTTCCTGGGAAGAGTTTTCCCCTGAAACAGCCGCCAAAGAGAAAAAGAAACCCTTAGTCTGTGCAGGGTGTTTAATTAGTTAAACGAAGAGCAGTACTAAACTTCACGAAAGTAGCGGCGAAGGGAAAAACAGCAAAAGGAGATTGGGTCATCTTACGCATCGCACGCATTCGTTATGCAACTCTGCCCATACTTCCCGCCTCGCCCCAAACTTTTTCTTTCGTTTCTTTTTTGTTTTTTTGTTTTGTTTCTTTTTCCTTCCGTAGATGCGCTTCGTTTACCTGTTTATTTACTCAACGTTTAGTGCAGACGAAAACTACAAATGTTATGAAACTTGGCTCGAGGCGGTCTAGCTGATCAGCGGTAGGATTAGTTGTCAAAGTGACTCAACCAAACATCATGTTAANACACTCTCAACGCGCCTTAGAGTATATCATGCAGCTGTGATGTTTTCTTACCTTTGGGAATTTCACAAATACATTGAAAACTATTTGCAAAACCAAAGTGGCTTATAAATATTCCGTTTGCAGAAAGGTTCAGATGAGACCTCTTCACTATCGTGGCCTTAGCTCCATCTCTCTCTATTAGCTCGGTATCATCCCATTTGCAAATAGTGAGTAGTTTTCCACTCACCCAGGTCCAAATCCCGCTTTCTCTTACGAGACCGATGTACCACTGCTGTTCTCGGTAATTTTCAATCTCTTCCTTTATAAACATCCACTCTTCTTCGGTTTCAATAGAAACGAGGTCACCTCCCTGCTTCCTGCAAAAGCTCCTGCTTTCGTTCCATGTTTTGAGTGACGCCTTGAAACTGTAGCAGGAATTTCTAAAACAAGTATTGTTGGTGTCTAATGAGACAAAAGAGAAGAAAATGATCCTCGGATTTTTTTATAAAAAGGTCTCAAGTTTTGCCTCAGAAAGCGAACTCTTGCGAAGACGAAATTAATTAGCTCTACTTTATTTCAAACGATGCCAGTCTCTCGTTAGAATATAAATACATCTAAAGTACGTTTATGGGTTTTTTTATCTCTGTTATGAAACGGTATCTCGATCAAAGAAAGCTCGGTATCTAGTCTATCAATGTCAGATCTTTTTTATCGTAGCACCTTTATATTGTGACTGTTGTGTGCTTAACAGGTTAGCTTGGAGTTTGCTTCGTTGGTTATTTGGGAATAGCAATGAATGGCAACACTTAAGTGTTTAAAATATTGTTGCCGGCAAATGCATTTCCAACCTACTCAATCCTCACTCAACGATTATCTAAGGCATAAGAATCGGTCTTTTTTTTCTCCCGAGATTTACTTTTATTACATAAGTATATGGCCAAAAGCCGATTAATTGGGAGTTTTGTAGCCTTACCTCCTCCCTGCAATTGCATCGCTGAGGTCTGAGTGGCTGAAGTAGAAGTGTAAGCAAACAAATTTAGTATCCTAACTCTTCACGGAAATAATAAATTCCATGTCATCAGAGTCACCAATTTGCGTATTATTGGCCCCCATAACACTAAGTCAAAGCTATCGGCAGCTTTTCTAAATTTGAAACTAGAACATTGTAGGTATAGCATAAATGTACAGAGCATTCTACTGAACGGGATTGAACGTTTTAGCCATCAAGTTTTCATTTCATTCTCCCAAAACATTGACGAAATGCCTCCTTAAGTTATTTTGAATTGACAATCCACTCCATATAACAGGAGGGCACTTTTAATCGATATCCTAGTTTTAATACATTAAATTATGTGCCAAAGAAAGATATCACTATAGTTTATATTTAAGAACCTCTAGCTGGGGTATTTTGTTATAAATACTGTTTTAAACCGTTATAGTTGGGTCTTTTTTCACATTATCAACGCTCGTTACATTCTTATCCGTTTTTTAACCAATTTTTAACAATATGCTAATATGTATATGTGCCCGATCCTTCGCAGTTGTTCTTTACTAGATCTTGAAAATGACTTCACAGAGGACGAAAGGTCGTTCCTTTTTTCGTTAATTTTGTGAAAAAAACTATATGAAATAAACTTCTTATGAAATATGAACGCTGACCTAAACTAATCAGCGTCTGCTGATCATCAACGATATCGGACTGCTTGGCTGGAAACGATAATTTAGCATACGGAAAGAAGGAAAACAATTCACTAAATTATCCGAATCTGACCTAGAATCGGAAGTAGAGGATATTACATAGTCGCACAGGAATACGAATTTTATCTTCGAATGCTTTTGGTATTTCTCCCGAGTAAATGAAGTGAATGAGTGAGAGATACTCTCAGTACGAGAAGATAACATTCGTATCCTCAAGCGGCCATGTAATGTTCTGTTTATTCTATAGATACTCATAAAATTTCCACATAAAATACAAGTTCGCCTGATCGAAATGCTCTCTCGTAATTGGCTAATCATTTTAATAACCATGGCGCCACCAATATCCTCACACATAAAAGATAAAAATAGTATCATCACTGCACGCGATGAAGATATGTTTTTTTTGGTAGAAGGAGAAATCCTAGTATCTATATAATACATCATAT